TTGTTGTTGTGTTTTAAGTTGGGGGGTTATTGCTTTCTTGTTGTGCCCATTTTCTTTGTTCATTTAGTTTTTAATAATGTTTTTTTTTGTTTGTATTTCCTTGTGGTTGTTTTTGTTTTTATATTTTTATTTTGACGTTTGGCGTTTGTTTGGAGTTCGCCTGCTTTAAATTGTTGCTGTGGTTGGTCGATTCTTCCGTTGTGCTATGTTGTGTACTTAAGTACTTTTCTGTTTTTTATAGATTTTCTGTTATGTTGTTGTTTTTGTTGTTATTTTAATTTTTAAATAAATAAAAGTATCTTTGTGTACTTTTTTTAAAGGCTTTTTCGTACTTTGTGATTGCTGTGTAGCTATTGCCGATGTTGTTTTTTTTTGTTGTTGTTGTTGTTACTTTTCGTACTTGTTATACCCCAGGTGAGCTTTGCTATCACGCCTGTCTGTCTTTCTTACTATCTGCCTGCCTGCCTGTTTGTATTTCTATGAGTTTTGCAGTGTTTTTTATTTGAATTCTGGTTCCGTTCCGATTATGAATAATTTTGTACTGTTTGTGATTACAAAAAAAAAGTAAAAAAAAAAAAAAATTTGATATTAGATATACAAATATAAACATATTTATTTATTAACAATTTATTTATATTATTATTTTTTTTTTTTACACACAAAAGTATTAGTAAAGAAGTCATTGAAGTTATGCAAAATGTATTCTGGTTTGTATGTATGTTTGTATGTCATATATTTAAAATTATTCAAAAGGATTAGTTCGGTGCATGAGCTCAGCAAACCATCAAAGGTTTTGCATTACTAAAGAAAAATAAATTCATTAAATAATGTTTAAGTTGGCATTAGTAGGCAGTGGTAAAATTAGCGAAACGATAGAAAATGTAAATTATGTGCTAACACTTCACTGTTCCGCTCCACGCCACTCCACTTCACTCCACTCCACTCCATTCCACTGTTAATTGCTGATTCATACCTTCAAGTCTATTTATTTTTAACATAAAAAAGTCACATTAGCATTTAACAAAATTAATTTCATTCCATTGTGATATATTTTTATACCTGTATAAATTTTAAAAAATTATTTCAGGTTATGGAACTAAGAAAATTAATAATTCTATTCATATCACGCATTTAGGGTATGTCATTGAAACTCTGTTAAATTCGGAAAAATCTTCCTTGGTCAAAGAAACGAAGAAAAAATTGTATTATATGGATGTTTCGATGGACACTATGTGATATTAAATTTTCTTTTTTGATTTTTAATTGGTGTTAGGTTAATTTATTCTTGTATTGAGAAGCTCAAATCTCCCATCTGTTTTTCTCCTAAACATCTGAACCTCTAGCAACAATGGGTTAAAGTTCAAAAATTGAGATTGTAAAGAAAAATTGATTTTTTGGTCAGAGAAACGAAGAACTACACTATACTAAATCCTCTATTTGAAGCACAAATCTGCAATCCGTTTTTCTCCTAAGCATCTGGGTCTCTGGCAATAACCGGTTAAAGTTCAAAAATTGAGATTGTGAAGGAAAATTTATTGTTTGATCAAAGAAACGAAGAAAAAAATTGTATTCAATGGACACTGCGTCAAACTAAATCCAATATTTGTAGCATCTGGGTCTATGGCAATAGCCGGTTAAAATTCAACAAATGACAATTTAAAAAAAAGTCGATTCTGATTAAAAACAAGAATGGGTGTCTCGTTTTTAATAATAACAGACTAAATTCATTGGTTTAAGTTAATTTCGGTTGCTGTGCTCAAATCTGCAAACCGAGTCTCTAGCAAGACAAGACAGAAAAATATTATTATTTTTAAAAAGATAAGAACAAAAACCGCTAACTATTTAAGGCAAAGAACAGGATATCCACGGATCTATCAGAATTCTCACAATAAACAAATTTGAACTTGTGAAATGTAGAGTGCAAACCTGCGCATATTGCCTTCTCAGTTTTGTGACTGTCAAGTAAATGGTTAAGTTCACCATCACACGTATTTTTGTTGTTGATTCTAATAAACTGTTTTTATTGCTACAGGACTTTGGATTTAGGCCAAGTATTTGCTAAAAAATTTATATTTCATACTTCTAAGACTTGATAGGTTCAAGTCCTTTACAGTCAAGACCTTTATAATGAACACATTATATTCTGTATGTGACAGTGACGCATCGATGGGGAATTTGAGGATAACACTTTTCTTGTTTTCTGGAAATACTAATTTACAAACACAAAAATACACTGCCAAAATAAATATTTTATAGGTATTTTTCCCCCTTGACATTTTTTTTGCAAATGCTTAAGCCTGGCAAAATGATACATTTCTTTATGGAAGTTCACGAACTAATATGCTTGAGCAGCATCCCAAATGGAAAAAAATTCCATGTATCAACCGTGTTGGTTTGTTTTGAAACCAAGACTTTCATAATCGGGGTTTTGATTGTTATCGTTGCGGGATCTTTAAAGACTGTAATATGATTGAAATTACAGAAGACATATGTGTACATTTGTTAGGATGTCCATAATGTATAAAAGAGGAAACTCTGTCGCCACTAAGAGCACCCACGATGAGAGTGCCTATGATCCACTATGTTTTCGCCCAGCTCATGCACGGCGGCGAATCAACACTTTAGGAGCCCACTTTCTTGAGGATCTTCATCAATTACAAGACATGCCACTAAATAGCATTTTAAGCTTTGCCAAAGGTTCTAGGCGGTTTTAAACTGTGAGTTATTTTTACATATACATAACACAATGGGCTAATAGACCTAAGTGGCTTCACCAGGAATCGGCGGTATAACCTAATCTAACTTAAGATGACCCAAACTGATTATATTCTTTCCCTCAATCTGGGCTATGCCATCCATATGAAAGCAATTGTATTTATCCAAAATATTGAAAGTGATATTCATTTGTATTATTGTATAAAGAAGTATAAAAAAATCTGAGGCTGATATTATTAAAGTCTTAACTTTACCTGAGTGAAAGTATAATTTTTTTATAATTCTAAATGTTCTGACTACTGATATTTTAATTTTCAGTGGTGGTAGTATCTAAGCACTGAAATAGATACTCATTAGAAAACTATCACAAAATAAGAATAAATTGATCAAACAAATTATAAGAAATAAATAAATAAATCTACTACTTCTTATCTTAATTTATTAGTGACTGTCTAATTGTTTCAATTTTTTTACCTTTCCCACTTCTTAGACCTCTCTCTCAAATGATTTCAAGTGATACCCATTAAAAACCGTCCCTTTGTTGTGTAATCCCTTCCCTTTCTTATTTTATTGATTAATTATTTGGGTTATAACAACAATACGAAAAGAAATATATTTATAGAGCTATGATAATAATTTCTGTTTTTATAATAAAAGCGGGATTGTAATGAACAAAAGGTATGAAAGTACAAGCGGTGTATGAACCGTGAAAAGCACCGAACGGTACTAACTAAACTGAAGATAAAATACAGATGTGTATGAACTATAATTGCCTCCAGAACTAAGTACATTTGATAAGTCCATTACTAATTTAAAAAAATATTTTATATATGATGAATAAAAATTTCTTCACTCTGGGTGATTTATCAAAAAGGGCACATTCACATCAAATTTTACTTGCAAATTGAATGATTTATTAATTAAAAACGATATCCACAATTTTACATTTTCTTTAAATGACTTCCTTATTATAATATATATACATTATCTTATTTCACAATTATTGGGAAATATTATTTAAATATTTGCATAAATTACCTGCAAACTCAACCGAAAAGTAAGAAATGCGGAAAAATAAACATTGAACGACGAAAAATCTGAAAACGAAACAAATTTTAAATTGTCCGTTGACGTTGGTGGCACATGATGAGGTCACAAGAAATTCTAACTACGCGCAGTCGCTTTAAAATAATAATCGCGGCCCGAGTTCCGATCGACCACTTGAGGATTGCTTATTGGTTAAGGCAACGTTTGAACATAAATTAGATAACAAAATCGCGTACAACGTTTATCTTTGAATTTATTAATTTGCACCTGGTCCCGAAGGCGTCATCAGCCGCAACGAACGCATAAAGTTTGAATAGGAAATAAATTTTGCAACTTCTGATTTATTTTATTTAATGCACACTGTACACTTGCCACATTTGCAAATATTACACTATAATAAAAAATACCATCAAATACTTTATTACTTAATAATTACCAAATATACAATTTTTTTGTAATTTTCCTTAATTCACTTATATTTTTCACTCTTGTTGCTCATTTCGCTTTTGTAGCGAATAATTTATTAAGATTTGTTTGTAATTTGTTTTGTTAACACGTTTGCATTTGTAGTGAAAATTTTTTACAAATATATTTAAACACAATTTTTTAAAGTAAATTAATATTTATTTCATTTAATTACTAACCAAATAATGCTAAAAAATAAATATTAATGATCTTGCAAAAAAAACACAACACCACCACTTTCGTGTCACTTTTTCGTCTTCTTCAATTTTGTCTTCTGACAAAAAATTTCTTTCATCATTTAATGTCATTAAAAAGGAAAAAATATAGAAACGCGCTGCATACAAACAATAAGCACAAGCAAGACAACGAATCGACTGAATTCTTCAATTGTCAAATGTGTGTTATTCTGAGAGAATAATTGAATAAGCACAGTGGAACTCATTTCAAACAATTAAAATTAATTAGGCAGCCCATACGGTGACTAAAAACTTTATAGGAAATATTAATATGAAGTAATGAGAAATATTATATTATGTATTACCTGTGAATATTTACCTGTGAGCATGCAAATTATATTAAACTATTAATAATGTGCTTTATAATATATAAAATGTTATATTTTTATTTTATACTGATAACTGTGGAATAAAATTGATTTAATGCAGCATTGCAATGTAAAACGAGTTAACATTGAAAATAATAAATCAGTTTCCTTTTTTAACAATTACCATAATTGACATATATTAACTAACACCTTATTTTTGCAATTGGAATGGTATATAAGAATCTCTAGGTATCTTATATGTACCTAAAATGGGTAAACGTATTTTGCTGCTTTGGATTAAATATCGCACAATTTAAATTGAACATAACTTTGTTATTTCAATATAGAAAGCGCTTCTTTTCTCACCAAATATTTTGAAATAGTTTGTTTTTTTTTTTACAAATTATTTTGAGTTTTAAGTACAACAATTAGTACAGCAAATATTTTTGAAGTCTGACATTTCCGAGTATAATATTATGTTAAAAAAGCATACGTTAATTAAAATATAAATTAAACAAAAATGTTTAATATTGTGCAACTGTTTTAAATAGAGCAAAACATATATATTTGATTTTTAATTGTAATGTTTTAATTATTAAAATGTTTTCATAGGATTTTACGTTTAACAAAATTTTATCATTAATTTGAAGAAGGCTTTCTTTTTTAATCTTATTTCTTGTTTATTTCTGTGTCTTGTTTTGATTGCATTGAAAGCAACAACAATTGACAGCTGAAATCACACACATAACAGCTAATATTACAAACAAAACTCTCATATGAATCCAATATAAGCAATATTGTTTAAATGAAGTTTTAATACTACAAAAATCAATTTTAAAATACAATAAAAAACTTTTAGGGCTGATGTAAATAGAATAATAGTTAAGCTCTCATTGATTTATTAATATTATTAAAAAATATGAAAAAATTATTTGTTTTCAGAAACTTAGTTCGTAACATTAGTACCTTTTTATTACATTAAAAGCTATTTTTGTTATACTTTTATATTTTTGAATTATTTAAAAAAATAATTTTTATAATATTTTCATTGATTATTATGAATGAAAATTCATTATTCATTATTGTTAGTTTGCTAAACTCATGTTAAAGTTACTATCGAAGTATTAAATAGAAACGTCATAAATAAATGTTTTGAGTAAAAGCCATAGAGCAAAGTTTTACTTTATAATAAAAAAAATTGTGTATAGTGACTAGATTCATTCTAAAAGTACTTTACATACATTTTAATGTATCTTCGACATTTCGAATTCAAGTTGCACTATGTTATGTTTTTTTTTCAGAAATCAATTCGGGAAATTTGATTTCGTAAATTTATTACAAACATTTTATTTATTTAGGACGTGTGCGAGTTAGGCTAAGTTGCATTCTAAATAAGGGAAATTCTAAGTTGTGCCGATAATGTAGTGATGTGTCGATACGTGTTGATAAATGGCTAAATGTGTGCAGTGCAAAAATCCCAAAAAAATTCCCATTTGGTTTAGCATCA